ATTCAGGACATCAAAGTACATATAATTTGGGTCTTACAGTTGGTTGCGACATTTGTACCTGACGCTGATCCACCTTACAGCGGGATTTTCTGTTTTAAAGGGTGGTTTTTCGTGATTAAAAGGAAAGTGGGGGGTAGTACAGTAATGCTGACATTCGGATTCAGGACATCAAAGTACATATGATTTGGGTCTTACAGTTGGTTGCCACACTTGACGCTGACTCATCTTATATTGGGATTTTCCGTTTTCAATGGTGGTTTTTCGCGATTTAAAAAAAAGTGGTGTGGTGGGGGTCAATTTTGACCCCGGATTTGGATTCAGCACGTCAAAATATATAAGAAATGATAGGTCTAGTCTTTGGTACAAACCAATTTTTTTGTGTGTGTTTCTGTGATATTTTTGCAATCAATTGTACAATATATAATTAATGAAAAATAAATAAAAAAAAAAAAACATTTAAAAAACATTGCTGATTGGAATGTGCATCACGATTTCAAAATTATTCATGCAAATATTGTTATGCAGATATTTATGCAAATTTATCTGTTTTTATGTCATCATTTGTAGTCAAGTATGAGCTATAGTTTATATAAGAACACGAAGATAAAGTCTGTGACTATTCAATAAAGAAACTCGTTCAATCGAATATATAGTATATTCAGTGAAATCGATAGTGAGTGAATTCCAATAAAAATAGTCAATCGCATATTGGTGACATCGTGGATAAAGGAGCACTATAAAATGTGGTTCTTCAATAAAATGTGTATGAGCAAAGCACGTCTTGACAGCAAAACTGTTGTGATAACAGGAGCAAGTGGTGGTATCGGCAAGGAGACTGCCAGAGATTTATATGCGAGAGGTGATTTTACTGAAATGATAATTTAAATTATCCTAAATTTTAAACTTAAGTAGATATAATAAGTAGATTATATAGCATTAATAAAATATAAATTTTTGTTATTCGTTAAGAGATAACAGTGCCAAATGTCATTGTTATACAACCATAATGTTATATAACAATACTTTATGAGAATACTATATATTCATTTCTTTACTAAAATTTTAAGTTTTTTTCAATTATCTTTGCTTTACTTATAAATTTATAAAATTTTTTACGACTCTACAATTAAAAAATATACTCTTAAACACATTCGTATAAATAACGTATGCATTTAGGCGCTAGAGTAATTCTGGCTTGTAGAAATATGGAAAAGACAAATGAAGCAGTTGAAGATATAAAGAGCAACCCACCTTCATGGTAAATATATAAACTTAGATATATTATAAAGAAAGCAATTAAATTAATTGTAGGTACTATTTATTTTAATTTATTCGTTTTGTGTTTTTATAAACCTATAATTATCTTAATTAAATTTTTTCATGATGGAGAAAATGACGATGTGGTCTGTAAATCAATGGTTACTTTTAGGATGAGAAAGGATGAATATAAAAATAATGTGGGTGAGCTTGCAATTTATTTTTTGGATCTACGTAGTTTTAAAAGCGTGAAAGATTGTGCTAAGAATTTGCTGACAAACGAAGCAGCTATTCACATACTCATAAATAATGCCGGTGTAGCTGCGTCTCCATATGAAAAGACAGAGGATGGAAATGAGACGACACTACAAGTTAACCACCTTGGCCATTTTCTTTTGACACTTTTGTTACTGCCAAAAATGCAATCGTCTTCTTCCAGCTGCAGAATAGTCAATGTCTCATCATTTACATATATTTGTATGTAAAAGCATGTATGATATTGTGGTATAGCTTTAAAAATAAAGTAGAATGTTTATCATTTTCGTTCAGTTCTTCCCCAAGTAGAAATTTATCCGGGCATCCCATATTTAATGCTGGCTCCGTATGGGCATTATTAAGGCATCCAAAATAAGGGCTTGTCAAACTCAAACCCATTTAGGACCTAGTTAGAACTTAGTTTTTGTTTTTAATTTGGGCATGTCTAACTATAGCCCATACAAGACTTTTCTCCCAAGACAATTTAATGTAGGATTTCCTAGTTATAGTCTATATTACAGAGCCCAGTTTGGTCACGATTTTTCTCCCAAAACAGTTTAATGTAGGATTTCATAATTGTAGCCCATACAGGGCCTAGTTTAGTCATGATTTTTCTCTCAAGACAATTTAATGTAGAATTTCCTAGTTGTAGCCCGTACAGGGCCCAGTTTGGTCACGACTTCCCGTGTAGAAATTTGTTAGGAATGGCCTTACATAACATAAGGCCCCGATCATTAGTTATTAGGGATGCCATAAGAAAGGTTTTCTTATTTTTAAATGCGAAATTAAGCGACCCAACTGGCCAGTATCAATTTATTTAATTAACTCACTACGTTTCAACCTTAATTATGTCCTTCTCAAGTGAGAAACAATACATAGGTTACGCAACAATGGATCATGCGTCGCCAAATGCTGCGTCCAAGCCGCATTGTGCGAACGCCACGCTAGAACAAATATGTCCATATAAGTATGTCGAATATAAAGATGGAAGACATATCAGTGGTAAATCGTAAAAACTTACATGTAATGTGCGTCAAAAGAATAAAAAATAAAAAGTTTCCAAGAGTCGCAATGTAAAGTTTTAGGAGAATAAGACAGATTATTTTCTCCACTAGCTCCGTTCCGTGCCATATTCAAAGTCACAATGATACGTATAATACACAATGACTAAGTACTAACTACAATAAGATGTGTTCCGAAAGTACCGTATGACAAACCAA